GCAGCTAAACTACAAATGCTCCATCTTGGCTAAATTAACATCTTCAAAGTAAATCCTTTAAAGTAAACATAAAAAGATCATCTTTAAATAGCACAAGAGCTGGACTATTTGGAGCCCCAAATAGATGATATTGCGTATACCAATAGGAACGCCATAGCACATTTTCTCTTAAAAATGCTTGCACTTCAGTTTTGGTGGATAAGGGTGCAAAGTATATAACCTAATAATTCTGAAAACTATGAAAAGGAGAAAAAACCGGTTTCTCTTCAATAATTATTGCAGAAGTTCTACTTTAAACTGGTCAACTTAGTCTTAGAAGGATTTCTCTAATACTAGTGTGAAGTGGTTACCCTCGTAAATAACTGGTTACATTGCAATTTGTAGCGGGCATTTTAGGATGCAATGTGACAATATGTGCCCCAAATCATAAATATATTTATACTCTTTGGCTCAGTAATCCAAATTCCAAGAATTTGTTCTTGGGTAATACTTCAAAAGAGGGAACAATTTAGAAGTAGCATAATGCTCATTGTAGTTATTTTACGCTAGAGGAAGAAAGACAATCATTTGTAGCAGAGGTTGACAAACTATGTCCCGCGTGCCAAATCGGCCCTCTGTTACAGTAAAGTTTTATTGGAACACAGCCACTCTCAGTCATTTATGTGTTGTCTGTGGTGCTGCTTTTGTGCTATAATGGCAGAGTTGAGAAGTTGTGACGCAGACCATATGGTTCACAAAGCTGAAAAATATTTACGATCTGGCCTATTTTTTAGTATCGACTTTTTAAAATCCCAGATTATAATATCACTCTCCATTCATTAAATTGTTCACTTTATATCCTTCTGCAAATCTCAATTTTAATCCTAGGTAGTTTATATTTTTCTTACTGTTGTGAATAAAAAAATTTTAAAAATTATGTTCTCTTGCTAATAATGGCTGATATTGAAAAAGCTTTTGATTTTCAAATATTTATTTTGTAACCAACCACCCTCTGAATTTTGTTATTTGGTCAAGTAATCTTTACTTGATTCTCTTAAATTTTTCGTGTAGACAATCGTATCATCTGGAAGTATTAAGATAATATTTTGTACCCTCCCTTCAGTATTTATCTTTCATTATTCTTGTGTTACTGAGTCACCTAATATTTCTAAGACAGTGTTAGATATTAGTGGTGATGATGAGCATAATTCCATTAATTCTGACATGGTCTTCACCTAGTCACTCAGGATTCAGGAGCCTTAAGCTCGCCGTCAAATCCCCAATTACAAAAAGTTTATATTCCTGTAAAGAAATCCTTCCAGATCAGCTCGCCTTCAAAGCAGACAACTGCAGGCTGAGAACAGCTGAGATGTTCATGCTCTGTGCAGGATTTCTTGTCGGGCTTGGAGAAAAACATGACTTCTTTCTACTTCCTAGTCACTGTGGTTTGGGCTGCAATCCTTGAACTTCTTTCTCTCCAGGCACATGAAGACAGGTGTGAGGTTTTGGAAGCTAAACAAACATTCCGTCAAAATAAGAGGTTACTGGGGTGGGCCTGGTGGCGCAGCGGTTAAGTGCACGCACTCCGCTGCGGCGGCTCGAGGTTCGCAGGTTTGGAACCCCGGGCACGCACCGACGCACCACTTGTCAAGCCATGCTGTGGCGGCATCCCACAGAAAGTGGAGGAAGATGGGCACGGATGTTAGCCCAGGGCCAGTCTTCCTCAGCAAAAAGAGGATTGGCGACAGATGTTAGCTGAGGGCTAATCTTCCTCCCAAAAACAAACAAAAAAAAAGAGGTTACTATACAAAGTACAGAAGGAGGGAAAGCATGGCCTTTGGTAGACAGATGTGGATTCTGTGTGGCCTCCTGGAAGCTCGGTGATGCTGGGCAAAGCTTCTGAGTCTCAGTTTTCTCAACTGTAAAATGAGAAATAATACTAGAATCATAGAGTTGCTGTGAGATTTGGAAATAACTCACAAGCATGGTATGTGAGAGACTTTAGATAAATCCTCACAGAACAACAGCAGTAACAACCAAACCTCTTTCAGCATTTTGGGCCATTTCCGTTGGGTGCTCAAGACATGACCATTCTATGAACACACGGGTGGACCATGGAGAGATCCTGTGGTCTTTGATGGTGGCCATTTAGAGGGTTTCTCTTTCAGATTCCTTTTCTCACAGCCATGCAAACCAACATCCAATATCATGAGAGCAGACACAATCCCAGGTCTTTGGTTAAAGTAAGACCCCTCTTTGCTACAGAACGGCCTCATCTTTTCCATTCGTTTTTAGTGGAATGTGCCCCAAATAGGCACATGGCGATTGTTGCAGTAACCAGAGGTCATTGAATGTGACTTTGTCCAAGTACTGTGGGTAGCCATTCTGATGCATAAAGGAACTACATGGGGTAGGTTCTATGTCAATATACATTTCTGAAAAGTGTTGGATCACATATTCAACTAAGAAGTCATTGACACCTCCGATCACCCCATTACCTATACCCTTCCTCAA